GTTGTCTTTTTTCTTAAATGTTTTATTGTGAATTATGTGATAGTTTACATGGGAGAACATTAATTTTACATTCATTCTATTATATATAGTCTCATTGCCTTGGTTACCATCCCCTCCAGCATCATCAACCAACCAAAGGGTATACCCTGCAAGTCTTCCCCTAGTCGTCAGCACACAGCCTCTCTCCCTCTCTGGGTCTAGAGTCCCCAGTCGTTCACTCTCTCTACATCATGGGCTCTGTCTCCATCTCTGGCATCACTGCTTCTCTGGGTAGGGTCCCACACTCTGCTCTTCTCCCTTGATGGTCCCAGGGACCTCTGCCCCTGGATTGCAAAGTCAATCACTTTCCTCTTTTTGCTACAAAACATCTACCTTTATTATTTCCAACCCTCACAGTCAGTCCTGATAGCAATTATTCAATATTGTGCCATGAGTGCTATCCTCATCTCCTTTCATCAGCCCCGCCTAGACAGATTGCATACTACTCAGTGGAAATTCTACCTTCCTCCATGCCCTCTGGATCTAGGCTCCCTCTTGAAAGCTTGTAAGCCAGTCACTTCTTGCCTTTGTAGCCCCACCATTTTGGGTAGGCAATGCCCAAGTTGCCCATCCCTGTCTATCCTGTTTATCGAGGGGGTGGGAATGATCCATGCTATAAAGATTTGTTCCCTCTTTTGAGTGACTGCTTCTATAGGTGTAGGTCAAGTTTATCAAATTGTATCAGATTACTCTTTTTTCCCTCTTCTTTCTTTTTCTAGTTGAATTCTGATCATCCAGCCATTGAAGCCAGGTCAAGTGGGTATTGTCTGCAAGTGTGGGTGTTCTTGTGCATATGCCCTCTTATTATCAGCTGGATGCTTCACTCTCCACTCTAGTCTTCTGTGGCTATGTCACTGACTCTGGTCCCAGGAGTCCCCAGGTCTTGCCACACTGCTGGCCAAGCAGGTCTCCACCCAGGTTCACAGGCGTCTATCAAACGTGGTCCAGCTTAGCTTGCACCTTCATTGCTGTTTTTCCCTCACTTCCCCTTATCGGTGACAAACATGGTCACCAATCAGAGAGTGTATTCCCATTGAGTCTTAAGTCTTGGAAGGGAGTTTGCCTTGATGTCTGCTGGGCAAGCAACTTGCTTGCCTAAAGAACTTTTTTTAAAAAAGGTTTTAATCTGCATAACAGGATGAGGAGCTGTGTGTTTCTCCCTAATAGTTGGAACACTGGTAAGGGATAGGAGTTTCAATATCATTCCTAGTTAATCAACTCCATTGTTGTTGTTGTTGTTAAGTGCCGTCAAGTCGGTTCTGACCCATAGCGACCTTGTACAGGGTTTCTGAGGCTGTAAATCTTTACGGGAGCAGAACGCCTCATCTTTCTCCTGTGGAACGACTGGTAGTTTCCAACTGCAGAGCGCCCATATTTTGTACATATTCTTGCTTTTGCACTTTTTACATGCACCATAAATTGCTATTTATTTATATTTATTTATGGTATAAGAAGTACAAGGAGCTCTGGTAGCATAGTGATTACGAATCGGGCTGCTAAACTCAAGGTC